GATTTTTCTCGTAAGCTCTAAAAACATCTGTTCACATGGAAACATAATTCAGTATCTCTCTAAAGTATTTATTTATTCTGTTAAATAACACTAAAAAGTACACTTTGAATGAAAACATAACATTTCAATCATTTCTGCAGTTAAACTCCGTTATACCTGATCTGTCCAATAGATGTCACTGTAGTGAACTTCCTGTAACTAATGACAGATAATCTGCTCATCAGTTACAGAACTTGTACTGACTTATTTATTTTTGCACATTTTAAATTTGATTGGAGATTTGAACCTTCACCTTAAAAAAAGCCTCTGGTGATTCAAGATGTAGCAATGACTTTTAGCTTTGAAAACAAACAAACAAACAAACATCATTTTAAATGTTCTCCCAGTTATTGCATGAAATTACATTTTGAAAGAATTAGTTTTATAACATGCCCACAACAAAACAAAGAAGCAACATAAGTTGATGCAATTCACAAAGTATTGTGCTACCGAGTACAATTTTATTAGCTTAAGAAGTATAAGTAGGCAGAAAGGTGAAGTACTTTTTTTCTTCTTTTGTGGTCAAACATACTTCTTAAAAATACAACAATATCACAATTTGTCAAGATAGAAAGGAGTCAAATCGGCAAAACAATAATTGTTTTTGATCATGTGATTACAAAACAGTGGAGGTGACTTGATGTGGCGTAACTACCTGGTGATGCAAGGTGAAAGCACAAAAAAACAAACTGAAAAAGTAAAGAAAAGTTTGGACATATTTCTCATAACATGGAAAACAAATATTTGTTCTTTAGCATGTTTGTCTTGACATTCTGCAGTGTAAAGAGACCTGACACATCTACTGCACTGCAAACCTGGTGTTTGGGGGCCACCATCACAGTGTGGGAAAGTGTTGAGGGATAAATGGAGTTATCATCGAAACATTTACAAATAATATAATATACTTGACTGAAACTATTTGGCATTAAAGCACACTTTGATTAGATACATGTGGCTACAATGTATGCTGGCAGTCGTTGCTATTTAAACAGAATATTTTTAGTTTTTGGTCCCATACACACAAATAGTCGAGCACCAAAGCAACAAAGTCCTTGCTTATACAGCATTATATTACAATAAGTATCCTCACATAACCGACTGTAATACCAGCTAACTGAAAATGCACACACACACACCAGGAAGTGTGTAATCAGGTGAATAAAGCAGCACATGATCCTCTCATCCACTGCATTTAGATTTTCAAAAAGGGCACTGGTGCGAAAGCTGCTACGTGGGTCTCTGGCTTGCACAGCATATCTGCTGCAGCGGGTCAGGCATTACAACAAAACGCAACCATCTCAAAGTCAGTCCTGCGGGGTTCAAGTCCCCGTCGCTCCAGAGAAACCAGGTGAGGTCAGAAAGAGATGATCCGTTCCACAAAATGCTGGCAGTGTCGAAGGAGAATCATCAGAAATGAGGTGACGCGAAGCAGGAAGTTCAGCACGGACGACTCCAGCTGGCAGTTTGATCTAAGACTCCGCAGCCTGAAAACATAAACAGAAATTATAAATCTTGTTTAGCTGCAACATCCTTTCTAAAAAAAGAATTAATTTGAATAAGATTGATCAAAATAAAAAAGTGCACTGAGTCTTGATGGGTTCTTACTGTTATATGATACTGTTTTACTGTCAAATAAAAAAAGATGATGCTCATGAAACCTCAGCGGGTAATGAATCAGTTTAGTCAGACTGATGGAAATCTGCTGATCGAGCAGTGTTGGGAAAGACTGGTGTGTCTGTTTTGAAAAAGTAGCTTACTAAGTGAACTGGACGTTTGATTACAGTAAATACAGTATAACATGTCAGCATTTAATTACATGCATTAACTCACTTTCACATTAGGTTTGGAGCTGAGCCCGAGGAACGTAAACACAGTGTTGTTCTCCTTCGACTGGAAGAAGTCTTCATAATCCTGAGGCGGAGAAGAGAACAGAATGTTTCAAAGACGGGTTGAAGTTTTGTCTAAACACACAGACCCTCCTTGAAATATAACGTTCGACTGGCGTTGGAATACCTGGACCAGTTATCGCGATGGCAGGAAGAGCAGATAATCTGCCCCTTCTCTTCCATAAAACTGGATTACCGCAGGATTACAGAGCAGCGTGCAATCTGAGATGGGAACATAAACCAGGAAGGTCTCACTGCTCAGACTCACTCAGGCTCGACCTTCTATGGACTTACATTTATTCACAGTAAACTGAAGCATCCGTCAGTTTTTTATCTGGTTTTGTTATGTTTCTGTGTCAATATAATTCAGCAATCCTGATTTAACAACGGAAAAATAAAAAAAGCAGACGATCAAAATGTTCTCCTTTTAAAACAAGCAGCACCAGATTTGATCTCGAAAGTTTTGGCAAATATTAAAGCAAAATCACGCATCAAGTATCTGTTTCATCTCAACTTGACATATCCTAAATCAATTTCTCTACACACTCATTTGTAAAACAGGAGACCAGCAATGTAACCCACAATAAAAAAAATGGAGTTTACCTCTAATTAATAGATTTGAGACATAAAACAAACAAGGACGTGACTTTAAACACCTCTTAAAACTGCATAACATCATAGGTTAAGAGACTGCTTTTCTGATTGACTGTTTGTAAGCCAAGGTCCATTAGAATACTTACATATAATGTGTTTTTAAAAGAAAGTAAAAGCAGTGCTGGCTGTAGCCATTTTGGTGCCCTAGGCAAGTTGAAGCCCCCCCCCCCGAACTATGTCCCACCCCCAATTTGAACCCCTAAAAACAAGTTTGACAGTGTATGGTACTACGGTAAACTTAGATTTATTTGTTTTCCCAGAAAGCAAGTAAATAACAACATGTCAACTTGTACAGATTGTAAGTTATAAGGATTTTACGTCATTTTGCAGGTATACGGACGTATAGAGCAATCTCACAGATTTTTTCAAGTCTTACGGATTTTTTTCAAAACCTCATTTTCAAATTTATCTAACATGTCAGAGCCTGTAGGATGATTTTAAAAATAATAACATTAAATAGCCATCTTCCAACCTGTTCTGCTGGTAGAAATAAGTTTTGAACTTTTTCCGCTCTCCTTTCCTCCTGCTTCGCAGCAGGCGCCTCAGCGAGGCTGACACCCCCCCGTACGATTTGTATGGATTTTTTTTGCTAAATTTATGAAATTTTAAGGCTTTTTATACATTTAAACATCTGAAGAGGTTGACATGTATGGGACAACAAAATACAGACTTGTTGTTATTGAGTTTGTCAACACAAACCGCTACCTGAGAGGCACTACTAGCCCCTCCCCCGTCAGAGTGTCGGAGCAGGACGAGTCAGTGCAACGTCAGTCAAATGATAGAGAGGGTGGGGGCGAATGCTTCATTAGGGAGAGAAAATGATTTATGGGTAGAGTAGTTTATTTTTCCTGTAATACTTCATTATAGTTTTTCAAGACAAAGCTAACTGAAAGGGGAGCTTAGCAGAGTTACAACCAGAGATTACAAATAATTACTTTTGTTTCTTCTGCAGTTTGGCGCCCCCTCCAGCAGATGGCACTCAAGGCGACCGCCTAGTTCGCCTATGCCAAGAGCCGGCTTTGATCACATTCATACACTGATAGGACACACATCAGAGGCAGTGGGGTTCAGCGTCTTGCCCAGAGCCATGACAAATAATGGGGAATCAAACCGACAACTCTCAGATTAAAGGATTGACTCTCCTCACCACTCAGCCACAGCCACCTGTCCTGTTTGGCCTTGTTGACCTCTTAGCAAAAATCACAATATTTCCATAAATTACTATTAATAATTCATCAAAAGTTAAAAGCTACAGGTGAAAACTATGGAGGCTGGACCTCACTTTGTAAGTTATAATAAAAAGGAAGACAGTTTAAAAWTTTTTAATCATAGGTCGTATTATTCTTATAAAAGCCAATGCATGCCTTTGAATTATCAAAACATCGTAACATCACATAAAATAATTATTGTCTAAATATTAATTAACCTTAAATATTCTATTATTGCAACGTTTTGTTTCAAACCTGAGCAGATTAGAAATGTATGTATGTTTATTCTTTTGAACGTAGACACTTAATGGAGATGAAGCACTACAGTGACGAGCTACAGTCTCACACATCCCAGCTTCTCCGATCACGAACTGTAAGTTCCTCCTCTCTGCCTCGCTCCATCACCCACACTTTCATTTGTTTCTATCCATGCTGAATACTGTATGTGCAGGCCTACCTTCATGATTTAAAGGCACAGTGTGTAGGATTTTGTCAATTCTTTTAACCGAAATTGAGATAATCACTAATGACAATAATAAAAA